TATGGGGGGGAGCCCCCTGTGTCTAGAGTGTAGATGCTAGGCCTCGAGGTGCTCTGTTGCCAAAAGACTCGTACATGCTGTGGCCTTCTCACTCCATGAGGAAAGTGCCACGCAGCCAGTATGCAACAGGGTTAAGAGCTGCCTATGAGCTCCAGCGCTTGGCTCCCAGTTTACAGATGAGTTTGTTGCTGGGAATTCCACCAATGAGTGTTGTCGAAAATGCTGAAGCCTTATGAACTAAAGTCTATGAAAAGCATTCTCACATATGAATCTAATTTACATATTTGCACAAAATGTATTATTAATTGACTTCTGACCTAATATTTGAACATAGACATGATTTACATCTTGATTTCCACCTTTTAGTTGTAAAAGCATCACCATAGCCTCGGGGCCAGACTTAGACATGTTAATTATTTCAAGAACAATGCGCCCTAAGTGGGTTAAGATGGTTGACTTCACACAGATTTCTTGGTAGGGTGATGATGTGTGAATCTGTCCCTAAATTGGGACAAATAAGTCCCTAACAAGCTCTGTTTGAGTCCTACTACAGTTGTGGTACGATGTGGCTGTGCTGTATACCACAGCAGCGCACTGAGAGCAGGCTGTGAATTATCCATGCAAATTAAAAGCTATTCATAGCAAAGGTGTAAGCTGTGTAAGACTAATTAAAATTAAGGTTGTGCAAGAAGACTCCCCATTTGGCTCCATAAAGATGTCAAGCAGCTCAGTTAAAGGAAACATATTGGAGGGCTCTGTGCTGCCTTCACACTTTCCAGATCATCATAAAATTGTGGCTACTAGCTGAGCACTGGCAGAGAGGTAGCCAGGTTGTTTTGAATAAAATTTATGGATTTGGTTGTGCCAAAGAAGGAGCTGTTTAATATTTGCTTTTGGGGGAATAAATAATGTTGACATGACTCTATAGTACAACATGTCTGTAATTCATCTGCAGCTGTTAATAGAGTTGGCTATCAAACCAAGAACCCAGTGATTTCTGGCTATTCCCCTGGAATAAAATGAGTCAAGTTGTCACCTCTGACCTCCTAACAACTTATAAATGAATAAAAAACTGAATATCTGTAGAATAATCTGAACTTTACACATGTACATGAGTCTTGATATATAAAAGGAAGATCGTTTTCTATTTGAGAAGTTAACCTTTATCTTGAAGGAAAATCTGAAAAGAGCCTCTAACACTGAAGTCAGAGCTCCAATCTTGTTGTCCGATCACAATGAGCTCCACTGGCTTCTACCCCTGTGAGCAGTTGAATGGGGGGACGTTTATGTGGAGCAGACGTCCAATCTACAGACAAAATAGTGCTGCTGATGCTACATCTGTGAAGACAGTAAGAGTCATGTAGGTATACAGTGCTCTGTAGGGCAGTTTTATTTATCTATTGAGGCAGCCACTAAATAAGACACACATTAAATAAGATTCTATATCCCCTAAAAAAAAAGCCACTGAAACCTATAGAACAAATCCTCATAGACATCTCAGGGACTCTAACCTGACTGAATGCTTGAGTTACAGTGTGAGGAAGTATAAATTTGCTGCCACCTAGATGGAACTTGACATTATCAATTATGGTCACACAGGAAGAGCTACATGACTCAATGACTCAATGACAAAACACTGTATTTTATTTAATCAGGATCTCTGAACACTATTACATAAAATAGGCATATTTCATCCACAGCTGCTTGACTGTTTGTGTTACCAAAGATCAAGTGGGAGTCCATTGTAACGAAAAAAAAAAAAAAAAGATTTCTATAGTAGTTGAAATACCCAAGATATTTTATCTTTTAAAAGACTACCTTTGAATTTATGCTTTTATCATTAGGTTTTTAAACACAACACTTACAAAAACATGGAATGAGCTTCCCTACACAGTGTATCTCAGTGATCATACAAAAACACTGTATTTCACACAATAAATTCAAATATTTGTTGTTATGTAGCTTGTATCAAATGCAGGGCTCATTAACATGACTGTCATACTAACTAAGAAATAGTAAAAACAAAAGCACTACAAACATTGTGTCTACATTCAAGCTAATTTTAAGTAAGAAAAAATGGCATATGAAAAAAGATTCAATTGAAGCTTTCTTGATTCAGAAAAACACGTGGGAAAATGCACCTTCAAACACGAGAACAGGCTGTATCTCATTGATTGCATTTGAGAATGACGTACATTAAAGACTGAACATCCTGTTGTTGAGAATAGTGATGTTGCTCCAGTTGTTTTCAACAGGCCTTTTTTTAGGCTTGTGGATCATCTTCCTCAGCATGGAGGCTGCTGGCTGTGGTTGCCACGGGAACACTATCCGAGGCTTCCTGGGCCTGCGGAGGGCTCCTCCTAGTGGAGACAGAGAGAGTTGAGGTTACACGCTTCAATCAGAAATGACATGCTGAAATGCAACAAGAGTAAGTCTCACTTCATCTCGTTGGCCTCAGCTGCTTTCACCGCTTTGTATTTGTGTCTCTTTACAGTGTGAGCGATGAACCACACGACCAGGATGATCAGGACACACCCGAGCAACGCGCCGATCACTGCACCAGCAATCACTCCATCTCCCACTTCTATATGAGTGAATGAATGAATGAATGAATGAGTGAAACTGTGAACAAATCCTTTTTTAGTATTTTCTTTTGCAGTACATTTCTGTAGCCTATATATTCTCAAAAAAATTAACATACCATGACTCAGCTCTATAGTGCAGATTGAAGATCCCACTGCATTTGTAGCGTTGCACTGGTACTCCCCAAACTGAAACTCAGATATGTTCCTGATTTCCAGTATTCCAGTTTTGGTGGCTGAGGAAACAAGAGTGCACGTGTTCATGGAAAGATGACTGTTAACAAGTTGATCCCACACACAACACATACAGTACTCACTTCTTCCCAGTACAGGCATCCTGGTCTTAGCCTGATCCAGTCTGGTCCATTTGTATGTCGGGGTCGGGCTCCCACGCTCGCTGTGGCAGGTCAGAGTGACCAGGTGGCCCGATTCCACATCACCATGGACGGAGCAATAAGGAGTAGAGGGCCTCTCTGAAGAACCACAAGGAAAATGTGTAAGTGTATTGGATGTTTTTACATTTACTTTACTAAATCTACTTGAAACACAATTCATCAGTTCAATCAGTAGAAATCATTGATATTTTTCATACAGTTTCGATATGTATGGTGTTTTTGATTACAATATTTGATGATTGCTCTTTGGAATATACTGTATTATATAGAGTATTAAGCATTTTACATTGCACAGTTGCTAACTGCAAAGACGATGTAAAAGTACCAGTACACAATTTAAAAATACACCACTACAAGTAAAAGTTCTACATGAGTAAAAGTACAAATACTATTTTTATCATAATGTTCTTAAAGTATCAAAAGTACTCATTCTCCAATGATTTTCTATGACATTATGAACTCAACTTGTACACAGCATATACAGTTAAGTACTTTAGTCAAGCAGTTACCAACCTAGGGTTTGGGCCCCCTCTAAGGGGTCACAAGATAAGTCTGGGGGTCATGACATAATTAATTTGGAAATTAAAGAGGAAAAAAAGTTCTGCTACACATTTATATTCACCTTTTGGACTTTTCTCTTTTTTTCTGGACTTTTTGGATGATTGTATACCACTCTGGGCATCAAACAATTATTTAAATGACACCAAGTTCAAAGGGGAAATGGCTGCTTAGTGAAACTGATAACAACTCATGGACCTTTTGACAAGGTCACTAGCCAAAATGGATAGAGATCACTGGTTTGATGCATTGT